GCTGGAGAGGAAAAAAGACAAGCGAATGTATCAACAAGTATCTTTTTTAAAGGCTAGAGGCTTATAGGTATGCAGTCAATAATCCTTTAACTACTTACTACCAAGAAAGAGAGGTAACAGTGATCATCCTTCACTTCTCAAAACCTCCTACAAGGCTACCCTTTCTCATTCAAAGATATCTTTAAAAGTAATTTTTTAACTTGATTTCACAGAGATCAAGATGTTCCAAGGAGAGAGGAGGAGAGCACACAGAGTGATCTGTCCTCCCTAGGGGATTGCCCTATGAAATTTTCTTTTTAATAAACCAACAGATTATTTTATTAACTATGTGTGTACCTGTGTGTGCATATGAGGTATTAGATATTTCCTTATCTAACATGAAATGCCATGCTTACCATTTGGGCACCCTTCTCAGTAATGATGTACTTGGAAGGCCACATCTTAAAATCAGATGGCTCCTTTGTGTACACTAATTGCAGGGATATTTTGCTAATAAATACAAACATTTTCAAAGTTGGACTCCTTGAGTTGAGGGTGGGGAAATAGGGAAAGGGAACTATATTTTCAAGGGATGGTCACTAAGAAGTATTTAAAAAGGCTACTTAAGTGCTTATTATGTATTTGTTTATGACAAATCATTTACACAGTGATTTTTGAAGTCTGTATAAATATTATAAGATGAAAAGCTTATTTAAAACATTGAAAATGAAAAGCTTATTTCAAATGTTATCATGTTCTAGTTTTTACAGATGATTTAATTTCAAAGTAATGGTACCAAAGTGAAAGAGGAGATAGGAAATAGAATGTCTTAAAATCCTCCATTTTAGTAAGTTTTGTTTCCTGGTTTTGTTATACACCACAAAAACAAGGTCTACTAAGGGAGATTATCAATCCAACACCCAATAACCTGCTTATACTATTCAGATAGGAAAAATTTAAGACTAAAATACTCTTAACAAACTACCTAAATTAAGACTTCCTGATTGACATATCTTCCTAAATCTTATACACTATAGAATGAGGGGGACCCAAAAACGCCTGGAATTTATTTATAAAAAATTGTGTATTTATTCTTATATGTTATCTTATATTCTCATATGTCCCCTTCAAAGTACTCTCTGTTTGATGTAAAACACCTATTGAGATGCTTTTTCCATTGTTTTTGAACTGGTCCATTTTGATGCCTTTTAGTGCTTCTTTTTTGTTTCACTTCTTCCACATGGGTAAAATGTTTCCCTTTGAGGACTTTTCTCAAGTGGGAAGCAAACAAAAAAACAGTCACTTGGGGTGAGATCAGGTGAATAGGGAGGGTGGGGGGAGTCATGCTGTTTTTGGTCAAAAACTGCTGCACTCAGTGTGGTGGGGGCAGGTGCACTATCATGGTGGAAGAACCAGTCACCTGTTTGCCACAACCTAGGATGTTTCTTATGCAAATCGTGACACAACCTACTCAAAATTTCCAGATAAACACTTTGGTTGACCCTTTGATCTGGAGGAATAAATTCTGAGTGTACTACAAGAGTCCCGCCCTCCAAAAGATAATTTCAGTTTTTGGGGAGTCCCCCCTCGTACTTAATAGAATGTAGTCTCATAATTCCACCCATGTAGTCGTTCCCATCTGCCAAGCAGAGCAAATTGTTGATTTGCACTTAATAAGCCAAACATGCATAAATTAGTTTTAATTCTATAAAGCTAGGTGTTAAATTTAGGTGCCATAGAAAAGTCATTACCTTTATCAGCCAGGAGAAGCAGAGATAACATAAGAGAACTGTAAAATCCAGAAGGGTGAATTACTTCCCTAAATGAAAGAAAATCACTTCATCTGTAAAACAGCCTACATATAACAAAAAATTCCACAAGCTATTCCACTCAGCTGTGAGCCAGAACAATTAAGTAAGATACAGTTAGGCAAATGGTCAATAATTTACCAGATACCCACTGTGTTTCAAACATCAGAAAATGGACCTCAGGATTCTAACTTCCAAACTAGTCCCTTGCTATAATCATCCTAGGGTTTTCTGTTGCTCCTACTCCAGTATTAGAAGAAAAAATGGAGTCAACTAATTTCAGCAAGTCCACATCTCAAGTCATTACATTGCTGGTGATTATTGCTAATTATAACACAGCAAATAAACGAAATCTTAAAGAAAATACAATCACTAACATTTCTAGATGGTTATTATCTTTTCTTCATTAAACTAATTTGTTAAAGGGGTAGCACATAACACGTTATTTTAGCAAACAAAATATACAAAGGCATGCTTATGCTGGCACACAGTCAAGCTCCTGTGAGAGCTAATCCAAATATGGATTTGTGGTAAAGTACTGCAAAGTCCTTGGCTTCACAATTTTAAGTAAGAATACAGTAAATGAACAGCCATGAACACACACTTTTGCTCTGGACCAAAAAGAACCAAACCAACCTTTAAAACATCTCTTTGCTCCTTTCTGATCCATTTTGTTTAATTTACATGAAATTACAGTGTGTGATAATTTCAAGCATCTTGTACCACAGGTCAAAAAAAAAAATCACACAGAGATATAAATTCACCACTAAGTTAATGGAGCTATCACTAGTCACAACATACATGTGTGGTAAAAATTTTTATTTCTTCAGACAAATGTCCTCTTATTCTGGAGATATGGGGACTAGTAAATAGGATAGGTAGGACAGAGATTAGAAATTGGTACTATTGGTCCATGCTTTAAGAAAGCATGTCAAATGAAAACTCAAATGCAGAAAACAAGAAGTCATTGTTTAAAGGAAACTTGCAACAAGTAAAAACCCATTTGATACTACATTATAGTGATTTGATTCTCAATAACTTGATTTACTTATTTTTCAGGAACACAATTGTATGATGTGAAATACACTTTCTTGGCAAATGTGGGCAGAAATAGCAGTAAAAATTCTGGTCAAGTAAAATTATGAGGAATCAAAATGTATTATAAAACTATTTCTAGGCCGAGCATGGTGGTTCACACCTATAATCTCGGTATTTTGGGAGGCAGAGTTGAGAGGATTGCTTGAAGCCAGGAGTTTGAGACCAGCCTGGGCAACCCAGCAAGACCCTGTCTCTACAAAAAGTAAAAAAAAAAAAAAAGAAAGCTGGGTATGGTGGGGTGCATCTCTAGTCCCAGTTACTTGGGAGGCTGAGGCAGGAAGATTGTTCAGGCCCAGGTTTGAGGCTGCAGTGAGCTATAATAACACCACTGGACTCCGGCATGGGTGACAGAGTGACACTCTGCCTAAAACAAAAGAAAAGAATAAAGAAGACTATTTCTGAGGCTGTAACACAGGACTATAAGATGTATTTCAAATATATCCTGACCTATTCTCAATGGACTCAAGTGGATAATTTGTCACTGGGTAATTATGAACATCAGTTCTCAAATTTTAATTTGGAAAATATATGCATCTATTAAATGGAAAAACCCTTCTGCAAAATAGCACTTATAATTTTTAAAAATTAGAAAATGATAAAATTTCAAGAGCAACAGAGCAATTTTTGTTGCCATATTATCAAGAGGAGCTTTGTAGACGCTGGATAAGATTAATAGTCCTGCAAATTGTTTTTAAATGTCCTATAGAACCTCAGAATTCTCTCCACCCTGGAAATGGCTTGAAAAAGAAGTAACAGCACACGTTTATCAACATCTTAACAACATACATTAATTTGGCACCTATTGTGTTTCACTTTATCCTTTCAGTTCTGGGAGGTAGGCATCATTTTACAGAAGATGAAAAGCAAGGTCACCTCCTCCATGGATCTTCATTCAACCCTCCAGTCATTTGGTTCTAATCATAATTTGCCTGGTATACTAGTCCTTCCTCCTCCCTTATCTCTGCCCCTCTATCCAGATTATGAGCACTGCAAAGGCAGGGACTGAATTTCAACTGTCTTTGTACTAAGCATTCCTTGTGGCACACAGTAGATGCTTAAGGTTGAGTAAATGAAAGAAATTGAGGAATGTTATGGAACAAATAAGAGATGAGAATGGGACTAAAATGCAAATTTTGGGACTTTCCCTCTTCCCGCTATATCATGCTGCCTAAATTAAGCTTGGTCCGCCACTTCAAGGCCACAATATCAAACCAGAAATTGTCACAAAAAATAACTCGTCTCCCCCAATGTCCTAAAGTTTGAATGTCCCTAGCCAAGACGAGTGGTCTCAAAATAATATTCTTTGGAAACTTTAAACAGTTGGCTAAAATAACAACAACAACAACAGCAACAACAACAAACAGTTCTTGTTAAGAATTGAGGGCAGGTGGGTTAGGCAAGAAGAGTTAAACTTCCGTTTGTTTAATTGGTTTGGCTTACAATCATGGCTTTGAATAACGGGACAAAAAGATAAATTTACTACGACGTTGTCAATAGCCTTTGAGAGGGGATTCCAAGGACTGAAAACTTGGAGACAAAGTAGGTGATGCTAAATTGGGAGAGGTCAGCAATTCTGAGCTCTACCCCTCAATCTCCCTCCATCCCAACCCTCCCTTTTCTCTAATCTCCTGGAACCTCTCAGGATATGACTGGGTCGCCCCCCTTTCTCCTTACCATCCCCACGTCCTCCACTCCCCCCACACACTCCCCAAGGTGATGATTATAGGTATGGGTTTTGTAAAAAAAAAGTTAAGTCCACAACAGCGAACTGACCCCTGTGCACCAGCCTAAACGCGTCCTGCTTAGGTCGCACACTCGTCATCAGCCACCTCCCCCCATAGGAAGCGACAGGGCAGGTACCCTTTTCCTCCTTTGCCTCATAAAGAACCGCGCTCCTCCCTTCCCCTGTCCCACCCAAAGAGCAACTGGTCGTCCAGTGAGGCATTCTCAGGACTCTGAGAGGTGGCGGCAAGGTGGTGGCGAGAGAAGAACCCCAATCCCTCCGCCCAGGGTTTAGGATCCCGTGTCAGGTTGCGACGAGTAACTGTTTTCCTCACCACCTTTTAAGGAACAGCGGACACGGCCCCAAGGCAGGTGGGGGTGGCCACAGCTTACCTGTGAGCCCCCCTCCGCCTTCCTCCCCGTAGCCCCGACGCCGTTGCAGCACGAAGTAGTCGTTGGACCTTTCCATCAGCCACAGCTTCAGCGCATTTTTCAGAAGCACTTCCTCAGGCTTCAGCCACATCTCGAAGAACTTTGTGCCCCTCGGGAGCAGCGACCCAGACGCCCTCCTCACCCTACCCTTAACCTGTCTCTGCCCCTCTATTTCTCCTCCCACCAAATCTTCCTCTGGCGGCAGCAGCTCAGGTTCAGGTTTTCCACACTTCCCCCAACCCTCCCTTCTCTCCCACGTAGGCAGAGAGATTGCCAATTCCCTCCCACAGCGCTACCGCCCGACTGGGAAATAGTCCCGCTTCTTCACCTCTTGGGAGTTGTAGTTTTCTTCCCGATTTTCTATACTCATGCAACTGGGATGCAGGACTACATTTCCCACAATGCAACGGGGTGAGAAGCGGGTGGGGGTGCTTTCAGAGCGGGTCCCGCCACCAGTTAAGTGGGTTTTGCCTATCTGAAGTTTAAAACCATTTTTGATTCAAATAAGTGAGCCCCAGGTGCAAAAGGATTGTTTCTTTTTATCCTTTTACAGCCGAAGGCATTAAACTGTAAGGAAAAATTTCCTGGAATTTTGGAGTGTCGGCCCATTCCGGGAAGCGGCAGTAGCAGCAACTAACGTTTAATGAGCGCTAACTGTATACTCAGGCGTCTTAAACCTCGCGTTATCCTCTCGGAAGTCTTAGGAAGTGGATAGTCTTTCCCACTTTACACATTAATAAACGAAAGCGATGACGGTTGAAGTGACTTGTCCAAGGTCGCACAGTCAGTGATAAGATTCCTTGTCTAAATCAAAAATTCTTATCTAGATTAAGCTCTTTCCGCTCGTTTCAAAAGAACAGAAAATCTCCAGAAGCCACACATTTTCTTTATGCCGTGTACTCCTCCCTTGCTCCTATTTTCCGCCTCTGTTTATTTAACGACTAAAATAAGCCACAGAAAATTTCTTGCCCAATTTTCTATTTGGGAATCTAAACAATTGATGAACAAATTTTTTTCTTTCTTAAGCTCTTTTAAAAAAACAAAAGCCCTTTCAGGACAGTCTTCACTTCTTTGCATACGCGGCTGCTTGAACACGAAGGTGAATGAGGTCGGTAATTTGCATGACATCGCTGTGAGGAAATACTTGAGGGATGTTTTTATTTATTACAATAACTTAAGCCCACCAGGATTAAAGAATGCACTGAAGATGAAAATAGGTTTATAAGAATGGAGGAGTTTGGAGGCAATGTACAAGCAAGGGGCTCTTGACAAACTGTTTTGAAAATAAAGCCTCAAGGCCATATGGTAAAAAAAAAAATGAGGTGGGGCACACACAGATGCCAAGTCGTGTAACCAAGGAATTATGCCCTGCAGTGGCATCTCCAGTTTAACCCTCCAAAGATGTGGGTTATCTCGAGTGATGCTGGCGTGTGCTACAAGCAGGGATTTGTGTGTGGGAGGGGTGGCGGAGGAGATAAGAAAAGGAGCAACTTGAAATTCTCTTCTAATTGGCAGTAAGTAGTCCCAAGACAGTTTTCTGGAAAATATGGGAAGAGGCAATGTTCCCAGAGCCCAAACTACAGTGCATCCTTGGGAAAAGCCATTGCAATTTGAATGTGTACTAGGGAAGATAATTTCTTCTTATTCTCCTGGTGAAAGATCAGTAAATGTAGTAAATGTAGACAAGAGAGGTGTTCTTTCTTTTTACTTTTCCTTCCCCCTTTGAATGTCCTTCTTCATCAAATCACATTCTTTTCCAATACCCTTAAAGGTTAGATTTGTGGCAAAGGCTGTCTAGAACTGGATGACTTCTCTGCTTCTTTACTCTGCAACTCCATTTGGGTATACCCACATGCTCCCCATTACCAGACTAGGCTCACTTTTGGTTCAGAGCAGGGCATTTAGAGAGTGTCTGCTTTAGTAAACAAACAGTTCACTGATTATGTGAAGCAAATTTTTCTCAAATTCAATTATTTATATGATGTAAAATTTGACTTGATCATAAACAATTTATTTCAAGCCTTTGCAAATAAAAGCATTTTTTCTGAAAACAAAATAGAACGTGTTGGCCAGTGTACTGGCTCACACCCTGTAATCCCAGCACTTTGGGAAGCCGAGGTGGGAGGATTGTTTGAGCCCAGCCTGAGTAGCATAGCAAGACCCATTCTTTACAAAAAAAATACAAAAATTAGCAGGGTGTGGTGGCATGCATCTGTAGTTCCAGCTAATTGGGAGGCTGAGGCAGGAGGAGCACTTGAGCCTAGGAGTTCAAGTCTGCAGTGAGCTATGATGGTGCCACTACTTTCCAAGCCTGGGTGACAGAGCAAGACCCTGTCTCTAAAAAAAATTAAAATTAAATGTTCAATTGTGAACGTCAAATGTAAGTTGCTTAGGGAAGATGGATGGGGGTTGTAAACTGCCTTGAATATCATTGCTGGCACTATACTGGTGATTATATATATATATATAGTTGCTTGCACATTTTTCCATGTTTACATTATGGATGAAAAAAAGGAATCTCAGAGAACTTAAGTAACTTGCCTAAGATCATACAGCTAAACCAGGGTGGCTTACGCCTGTAATCCCAGCACTTTGGGTGGTCAAGGCGAGAGGATTGCCTGAACCTTTGGGTTCGAGAGCAACCTGGGCAACTTAGTGACATCTCGTCTCCAAAAAAAAAAAAAAAAATAGCTGGACATGATCATATGTGCCTGTAGTTCCAGCTACTTGAAAGGCTGAGGAGGAAGAATTGTCTGAGCCCAGCAGGTTGAGGTTGCGGTTGGCTGCCACTGCACTCCAGCCTAATCAACAGAGTGAGATTTTAACTCCAAAAAAAAAAAAAAAAAAAAAGATCATACAGCTAAATAAATGGCAGAGCTGGAATTTGGAAGCTAGATTTGTCTGGCCCAAAACCATGACATCATGCTACCTATGCATATTGTCTGTAGATACCTCAAACACATGTCCAAAGCCAGACTCACTTTTCCAATATTCCCCCTGTGCAATGTTGTTTTTCCCACTAGGTTATTTTAGTTCATAGCGCCACTGTTTATCAAGACAGTCAAGCTAAGAACCTTGGGATAATCTTAGATTTCTTTCATCACCCCTATTCCCACCCCCCACTCCTCTACCTTTTTGAAAGTCCATCCCATCCCCCTATTATGACTTTAGATTATCCTCACATCACTCTCCTGCCATACTATTAGAATAGCTTCCCAGCTAATTTGTCTGCTTCCACTCTTATTTATGTGAAATATCCAGAATAGGCAAGTCCATAGAGACAGAAAGCGATTGGTGGTTGTGTGGTACTGGGAATGGGAGTGGAAATTGACTGCAAATGGGTATGAGGGGATGTTTTTTGGGTGATGGACTATTCTAAAACTGGATTGTGGTAATAGTTTTAGAACTCTGTATGAGGAGGAACCCCCCAAAATCTGGAATTATCTTTTGGAGGGTGGGCTCCTTGTAATACACTCAGAATTTGTTCCTCTGGATCAAACAGTCAACCAAAGTTTTTATCTGGAAGTTTTGAGAAGGTTACATCATGATTTGTGGAAGAAACATCCCAAGTTGTGGCAAACAGGTGACTGGTTCTTCCACCCTGACAGCGCACCTGCCCACACCACATTGAATGTTCAGTAGTTTTTTACCAAAAATGGCATGAACCCCATGCCCCATCCTCCTATTCATCTGATCTCACTCTGAGCGACTTTTTTTTTTTTGTTTCCCAGATGTAAAAAGTCCTCAGAGGGAAACGTTTTGCCCATGTGGAAGAGGTGAAACATAGAATGGCAGTAACACCAAAAGGCATCGAAGTGGACGACTTCAAAAACTATTTTGAGCAGTGGAAAAAGTGTCTAGATAGGTATATTGCATCAAATGGAGAGTACTTTGAAGGTGACTGATGTTTAAACATGTAAGAATAAGCACATTTTAAAAATAAACAGTTTTTTGGAGGCCTCCCCCTTCATACATTTGCTAAACATCATCCAGCTATATATTTACAATGGGTAAATTATGTAAACTATGCTTCAATACAGTTGTTAATTCAAAAAAATTTAAATGCCCCAAAAGAATCGTCACCAAATTTGAAAAAAGCTAACACTCTAAGAATATAGGCACCACCCCCCCTCCCCCAGCATATTGCCAAATAAGACATGTATACTTGGTTTGATAATCATAATTCTGAGGTGTTCCAAGCATTTGTATATTCTTAACACGTTTGACAAAAGAAAGATGCACTTAACTCATTAACAGCATCCTAACAATGATACATCAAAGAGAAGGCTGAAGGAACACATTCAAGTAATAAAAGGCCCTATATGTCATAAATTGCATAAAGATTAACTGGCATCAAAATATTTTTTAAACCTTGTATTATTACTGGTCACCCTCATTGTTTACCTTGCTGACATTTAAAAATAATTCATGATAGGTTCGGTGATATTACAATGGCAGCCATTCCTCTCTATGTAATACAATATGTAAATAGATATTATACTAAAATTTTAGTGTTTATTGATCAAATATGTCAATGACCATTTACATCCAACCTTTTTTTCCCTCCCAAATGCAGGCATAGTGTATGTGAAAAGTTCATATATGACAACTAAACACCAGACACAAACTTTTATTGGAATATTTTATTTATATTTTATATTTAAAGAGAATCAATACAAATCGGGACATATTTACAGCATTTCAAATCAGTGTACAAGAATGCAATGGTTTCATCCATTCTACATTCAGCAAACAAAAATATATGTCCTGTTTTTGCCTAAATTCTGCTAGAATTTGCACTGAAACAAAAGATAAGTCACGCAGAGTACAAATAAAGTGCATTTTTAAATAGCTCTATTTAACTTTGGTGGATGAAGTTTCAAACTTTACATTAAGGCACCTGGAATTCTCCCTTATTTTTTTTCAAACACCAAGAAAATGCATCCATAAAATTTATAGCTACGTGGACAGAATTTTAGCTTATCTAATTAATTGTGGCCCATTTAGGTCAAATGTAAACTCAATTTTCAAAGTCAACATTATTTGGAAAAAAATTTCTACAGACTGATTTTACAGAACATTTTCTGTAGACAAGTTCACGAATGAAGATCAATTACTATTTTTTGTGTGACTTACTCTGTCATTGCCATTTTCAAATAGTATGGTAATTTATATACTGTGCTTTTGAAAATCCCACAAAATTGAGAAATATTTACATAGTATTTTTGTAAGGAAACTTTTTGTCTATAATCTTGTGTCAAATTGGTGTCACTAATATATCAATCGATTCAGTTCATATTCTCTGATAAACTATGCTCAACACTCACATGAAGTACATTTAGCCTAATTTTAAAAACAAGAAAATATTAAAATGAATATTTTGCTTGAATCTTGTTCTACTAACTTAATGTAGCTTAAATAGACATTTCATGAAATACTAGCCTAAGTTTGCATTGCTTTTTACATTACAATTCCAGATCAATAGAAGCACCTGGAGAAAACCCTGACACATATAGCCCAAGCTAAAGTAGTATTATTTTTAATTAAGATACTATCATAAAATAAAGTGATTACAGCTATTCCACATTTTAAAAGCAACATGTTTTTATAAGAAGAAAATTGTTATAAACGAAAAACAGAACTACTTGAAGATAGTTGTATATGTTTAAAAATGTTGCTATCACTATTGAGAGGAAACTTGCCTATGAAAAACATTTTAATGAGTTTGTGGGAAAAAGTTAATAGGTTAAATATTTTAAGCCATTTAACTATAGCATAATATTAGTCATCTTAGTACTTTCAGTATCATTCTTAGTTTATTAAATTTATCCAGTTCATTAATAGTAAACTAGGCCCTGATTGGCAGTTCTGTTATTACTAATGTTCAAGTTTTCTATTGACACAGATCTTATGATTTAATTTCTCGAACAGCAGTCTCTTGTTCAGGAGTTTCATCTTCTTCAAAGGTTGGGTTGTCGACATGAGGAACAACATCCACTGCCACAGAATTTGCTTCATGGTTTACCAGCTGTAGGTTTTCATCTTTAAAAAGAAATGGCAATTTTAGGATGATTTCAGCCCTCTCTTCTTTTAAGACAAAATCCAACATTCATTTCTAGGAAGTCTTTCTTATCTAATTTTCATCATATTATTATGTTCATTACACTTACCTTTAATAATTATATGATTTATGCTATGCCTTACATAAAGCACATATGGTATTATTATATTGATTTATAGTTACTTTTTTCGGATCATATATGTGTGCTTATTTCTACCAACATCACAGCTGCTTTGAGAGCAAAAAGTTATGCCTTCTTCTTCCCTACCCTAAATATAACAGTTGTTGAACCTGGCTGCACATTCCAATCACCTGGACACGTTAAACAATTACCAATGATTCTTCATACACATAAATATAGATGGCATTTTATCAATTTTCATAATACTATAAGAAAGAGATTGGCAGTAGTGGGAAACTGCCAAGGGGGTGGGATTGGCAGTAGTGGGAAACTGCCAGGAGAGGGGGGCACACCTCATCAACAAGGGTACCTGCATAATGAACATTTGTATACCTAGCCCTGAATTGTACCCCGCATATTTAAAAAAATGATTATATAGACCAAAATATGAGATAGTAGATATACAGAGGGTACCAAAAAAGGTACACACATTTTAAGAAAAGAAAAACTATATTACAATTGTAATACTCAATATATACCAATAAAAAGATGAATACAAGTCACGTTTAACTTCTGCAATTAAAAGAGGTGCTTAAAGTGGTTACCATCAGTGCCCAGATGCTTTGGATTATGGCTAAAAGCAATATCTAGATAACATCTCTTAAAATGAGTATATACATTTTTTTGGCACCCCTGGTATTTCCAACATGTGTTGTTTAGTGAAGAAACCAAAGTACAGAACAGTTTTAGAGAATTTGACCATTCATTGTTTTTTTAAAGTTATATATCTCTGGAAGCATATAAAAGATTGTCAGAACAATGGTTGGTTTTGATGAGGAAGACTTGGGGCTGAGGCATAGAGAAGAAAGCAAGACTTTTTACTATATATGCTTTCATGTGGTTTTTTCACCCTCATATATCTATAATCTTTTAAAAAACTAATTATGTACAATTGAAGTGTGCTTTGCTTCTGAAAAAAAAAATCAACCAGGAAGTTGGGGGGATGTTCAAAATGGAATACAAATAGTAATAAGTGAACCTAATGGTATTACAAGTAAAATATATAAACATCCTAAAGAGGGTGGGGAAGAAAAGAACTATACTCAAGTAACTTTGGAAAACAATATGTTTTTTTTCATTTCTAGGATTTTATTTCCAGGATGTACACTAAATTCAGCTACCAGGGTGATTATAGAATCATTGGTTATAATACAAAAGACAAAAATTGGAAAACAGTAAATGCCCAACAATAGGGAAATGCTCAAACAATTGAAGTAGCTTCATACAGTGGAAAATTGTGTAGACATTCTCAGTATTTGAGAAAATTATTTGATGATAAAAAATTAACTCATAACTTACTAAATATAAAAGCACTATATGATATGATTCAAATTTTAAATTATAATAATTATAGATATAAATGTAGTAAAACTGTAAGAATCTCGTGGATCATTATTATTAGTGTTATGATCATGTGACTTTATTCTCCTAATTCTGTATTTTCTAAATGGAAAAGAGTATTTTGACTCTAATCTGTAAGGTTAAAAACAAAAAGAACTGTACACTAGAGGGTGAAATTGTTTTATATAGGGATATGTGTTAGCAATACTGAAACTATTTTATGTGTATTCTATAACTGAAAAAATAAGGAAATATATGGTAGATAAAGAGAGCCTTTATCTTTTCACTGTTGGAGAAAGGAGTTACAAATAAGGAAAGGGGGAGGCTAGAATGAACCCTGTGGTTTTGGATAAAAATTGGGTGTATCTGTATGTGTCCATTGTTTTTCGGACAGAGAGAGAGAGAGAGAGAGAGAGAGAGAGAGAGAGAGAGAATGTATATGTGTGTGTATATTTATATGATTAAATACACATATACATATATTTCCTAACCTTTTTAGTTGGAAGGGCCAATAGCAATGACACCTCAGTAGCAATAAGTGTGCCTAATTGCCCAGATATTGGTTTTGAAATATCATTCTCCAATAAAAGGCACCCTGAAAAAATGTCTGATTCTAGGGATAGGACAGATTAACCTAGATTTTAGCCTAGGGGTCAGTAAACTACAGCCCACAAGCCATAGCTAAAAATATTTTTTGTGGTTGTGAAATAAACAACAAAAAAAGGGAGGGGGTGTGAAAACAGAGACTTATGGCCTTCACAGCCTCAAGTATTTACTATCTAGCTTTTTACCAAAAAAAAGTTGGCCAATCTCAGTCAGACCTGGAACATCTTAACATGACAGAAATTAAGGAACTTGAAAGAGCACAGAAACCAATTTGAACAAGTTCCCAAATGACCAAATCTAGGACAGTGAGAGCAAGAGATAGAGCATGAGAATAATATACAATGAAAGAAGTATCTATGATCCCATAGTATTATAAATAAATAATTGAATATATGGAGGATAAGGAATAACTCTTCCTTACATTAGAAATTCAATCAAAAATGTAGAATGAATGATAGAAATAGAAAATTACTATTTGGCAACACTTCAGTAATTATTGCAACCAAGAATCATCAATGATTGCTAAAATTAGTAGGTAGAAGTATGATGACAAATAGGATATTTGAATAGTCTCCAAGTATCTCTCCATAAGATATTTAATAATTACAAAGGAAAAAATCATAACTGTAAAGGAGAAACCTGGCAGATAACCACCTTAACCAAATGAGCAAAGTTTGAATCATCAGTAATAAAACACAGACATCATGTGCGTCATGATATGATGTGGGGGCACTGAGAAGCGTCCAGCACCACTTCTGTGATATTCTTGCTAGAAACGGACAATGAATTTAATTACTGGGAAACAGCAGACAAGCCCAAATAGAGGGCCATTCTACAAAATAACTAGCAGTTTTTAAAAAGGTCAAGGTCATGAAGGACAAAGATTGAAGTAGTGTCTCAGACTGGAGACAAAGAGATTTGACAATTAAATGCAATGTGTGATCCTGGGACCAAAAAAAGGATATTAGTGTGTCAACTGGTGACATCTGAGTGAAGTCTGTAGTTCAATTAATAACATTTTATCAGTTAATTTCCTGGTTTTGATAATTTTATATGGTTCTATAAGATGTTAACACTTGAAGAAGCTGGATGAAGTATATATGACCATTCTTTATACTATTTTTGAAATTTTTGTCAGTCAGTCTGAAATTATCTCAAAATTAAAATAAAAAAATACCCATGCCTGGGTCCCACCCCTCATGGGCTCTTACTGCTCTAAGGTAGAGCCCAAACATTGGTAATGTTTAAAATCTCTCCAGGTGATTCTAATATGCAACCAGGATTGACAACTAGGGCCCATATTCAATGGTTCTCAAAGTGTGGTCCCTGGGCCAGAAGCATCAGTATCACTCAGGAACTTATAAGAAATTAAAATTTCCTAGGCCCCACCCCCAATCCACTGAGTCAGAAACCACGGGGGTGACCTCTCTGTTTTGACAAGCCTGCAGGTGAATCAATGAGTACTTGAGTTTGAAAACCAGTGCTCTAATAGAACTTAGCCCAGTGATATGACACACAGACGTGAACTAGCTGTGTGTTTATAAAGCTATGGAAACCAATGATTACCATAAGAATTAATGGCTAATATGCAAGATACCCAAACTGGTAATATATAATTACAGACAAAATTAAATCTGTTCTAAGTAGTCATTTATTCAACACAAACTTGAGTATCTACCATGCAACAGACTGTGCTCGGTGCCGGGTAAACAATAGTGAATATAAGACACTATCCTTACCCACAGGAACTTAAAAAAGTTTTAATACAATTCTGTGCAGTAAGTGCAATGACAGAAGTTTTATAGAAGCCGACAAATAGGGCCATACATGCAAGTCAGGAGAGACTTCTCAAAGAGGGGTGAGTCTTAGAGGAGAAATAGAGTTATCTTGTACTTTCTCAATTTGAGGGGTGAGGAAGAGTGGAAGCAATGGGCAGAGAGAGGATAGTGGCTCAAACTAAGATTGTGGAATTAAGTTTGCAAATTAGAGGATGGGGTTAAGAAAACAGATGTTGAATCAACAGGAAGGGGAAGAGGAAAGAATCTAGAATCTCCCTAGTTTTTGGTCTGAGGTACCTGGGTGAGTGTTACTATCATTTATCTAGATAAATAATACATGAGGAGGAACACGAATTATTATTTCATTTGCTTTCAAATCTCTGCAAAATCTGTTTTGCTTACCTCTTCCTTCCCCCCGCCCTACCCCTGCCCATAAGAAGAAGAGAACACAAAAAGAGTAAGTTGTTGTTTTTAAAAAAGAAATTTATCAATAAATTATCCTGTATACTCTCCATAATCTTTACTGAATTGTATTACCACACAATTATGGGAGCACAAGATCACCTGGGGAAAATAGACAATGATTCTCTATTATAGGTAGAATAAGCCACAGATTAACATTCCTATGACTACTTTATACGCAAGGAAATGTCTGCAGATTAGATTACGAGAAATACAAGGTTTACTTTTGCATAGTCATATTCCTTGTGACATATTCAGAAATGATGTTTATGGCACTGATAAGCTTATAGAGGACAAAGGTTTATGTAATAGAAAGCTTAAGCTTTCACAAGTCATCTTGAAAGTTTTTCTTCTACTTGCATGATAGAATTAGACTATCTCAAAATGAGGATTGAGAAAAAATCTTTCAAACCAACAAAAAACATGGAAAAGGTCGAGATTAAAGACAAAGAAAATAATTTTTATAGGGATTTTCTATTTTTAGGGAAAAAAAGTAACAAAACTCCATAAAATTTCTCCATTGGCATAAAATTCCTAAGTTGCAATACTAATTCACATGAATTTTGAAAATAATATATTCAATTTTTGTCTCTAATGGTTTGTTCATTTCATGGTACATAGTCAACAGGTGGCAGCACATACCATCCTTAAACAGTTTTCTATTTGCAAGAGATGGGTTCCTGAGAAATTTGGTATAAATGAAGTTTTTGTAAATTGAATTCTATTTTAACATTTCAGACTTCTTTATGTTAATTTCTGATTTATCCGCAATAAACGATGGCTTCTAAAATTTAGTTTCTCCTTAGTTTCTGTAAGTAGTTAACAAGATATTTAAATGCATCAGAGAGAAGCTTTCCAATAAATCTTTGTTTTGTGAATAATTCCCCACTTCTGATGTGTTTCATGTATTTGGGATACATTTAAATGTGTGCATAATAGGTCAAGGCAGGGTTTCATCCTTCATTGCATCATTTTAAGTAGGAAAAACCTTAAATGTGATAATGGCTGAATAGAGCAAATGCTAAAAAGCAGGACTTCTGATGGGCGTATGATTCACAACGGATCATTTGTAGGGCACTCACCGACCCTCAGTATGATGCTTACTTGCTGATTGCACATGTTCCTCCAGAGGCGGTTCATCTGCCCCCTGTACCGAAGCATATCCAGATGATGCAGTCTCACTGCGATTATCCTCTTCATGGGAGGAGGCACTATTGGATGCTTCATTGGATACAGGGACTTGTAAAGACACTGATCCATCTTCAACATCCACCTTTAGAAAGGATTTGAACAAATTAAATAGCGCTCAGAGTACACACTTTTCCTTGACATAGCATTACAAAGTTTCTTTATAGGTGACTTACTGGAGCAATGTTTCTTAACCTTTTAAATCTATGATCCCTTTTGAAGATCACAAAAATCTTTCGCTGGCCCTAGTCAAAAGAGAGTAATTGGGTTTATCAATGGAGTGAAAGATGCTACAGGCAGAGTGCCCTTATATCTGACATGTTCATTTGGGTGATCCCAGAACTTCATAACATAACTTCTGATACAAGGTAAGCACTTAAAAAAAATTATCATGCTGTCCCCCAGGGAAATTGAAAATTACTATCATCAATGTATCTTCTCAAGTCAAGAAGATTTTATAGCTGGGCACAGTGGCTCGTGTTTGTAATACTAGCATTTTGGGAGGCTGAGACAGGAGGATTGCTTGAGTCCAGGAGTTGAGTGCAACCTGGGCAACATAGTGAGATCCTGTCTCTACAAAAAAAAAAAAAACATAAAAATAAAAAGAGTGTGTTGAACTTAATTTTCTGTTGTATATTGAAAACAGGCTATTTTAAAATTTACCAAATATAAAATTATAATTATAATATTTATTATGCGTTCTCTAATTGTACATGATCAATTAACTACAAGTTTGGTCACTATACAATAGTAAAATATTAAAAAAAGAAACAGAAAGGGGGAGGCCAGGTTGGTAGTTTATATGGTCATCACTCCAAATTCTGATCAAATAAGAAGTATATTTGAGGAGAGGGAGGAAGAAAGAAAATGGAGATAGTCCAAGATGGCACCTCACTATCTCTATGATGTAAATATCTTCAGTTTTAGGTATAAACAGTGAGCATGGTACATTACATACCTAAAAAATAAGGATGTTATTTTCCTGAAAGCCCAGGTATACATCCTTCTTATAAATAGTATAGCAATATTTACCTCAATTCCCAAAGCTTTGAGTATGTCACATTTGCACATGGGACATGTCCTGTGTTCTAACAGCCATGGGTCAACACACGCCTTATGGAAAATATGGCTAATGAAAAAAAAAACACACAATTTAATTATCAATTGCAAAATAGCAACACTTTGTCTAATATATACTAACAGGTTACCCAATAACTTTACTTAGTCTTTGAAAAGATCCTCTTTTTTCTTTTAAACAGGCTATTAGTACAATGAAGGAACCAAAGAAACAAAATTTGGAAATTTTGTAGTACAATATTTTAAAATATAAAAACCTCATTGCTCTAGCTTCAGAAAAACTATTTTCAGTACTCACTTGAAAATGACTAGAATACTACCTGACTTAAGACTTTGTTCAGTATTTCAAATCTTAAACAATTGTCTTGTTATTCTCTATTAACTATTAATTCTGTTAAATGGTACAGTCATTCTCAATAATATAGTATAATATAGTACTGATTGCAACATAGTACTGATGCTTTAGGCAATGTGATACATTCCACCACTACTATATTTAATAGTTAAGAGAAAGAATGTTAAGAGCAACCTTCAGGAGAAGGATAATTAAAAACTAAATAGTGAAGACTTCCAAATTGGGTGCTCATAAATTGACTTTGTTTTTCTCAAGTCAAGAAGATTTTGTAGCTGAGCACAGTGGCTCATGCTTGTAATCCTAGCACTTTGGGTGGATTGTTAGAATAAATTTAAGATAATCCAGTACAATCTATCTATCTATCTATCTATCTATCTATCTATCTATCTATCTACCTACTTACCTATCTATCTATCTACTATCTATCTATCGTATGTGTGCTTGTATGTATTATATATAAAAATTGTGCTGGCTAGGTTCTCGGTTTTCTATGGGATTAGTTTAGAACAAATTGTACCATATTACAATTAGATTTATAACAATTCCAATGGTATTAAAAAATAAAAATACAACATAAAACATTCTTCTATAGGTAAATGAAAATAAGTTAAAAATAAATACTTTCTATAAATTAAAAAAATTCAAATGATTTTCTTCCATCACATTCATTTTTTGGGTCATATTTTTATTGACAATGTAAAAGAAAATCAAACTTACTTGCAGGTTAAGATGCGCACCAAATCATTTGGTTTATACAGTTCAATACAAACAGCACAACTATCTCCATCAGGGCCGATTTCCTATAAGCAAGTAGTTATTTTTACTCTGACAGGCAAGAAAATATACATTAAACTACAGAGCAAGATCAGAATATACATGTATTTAACCAGCATAAATTCTTACAAACATATCACTAAATGACTATGAAACTGTAACATTTCAATAGTGGATTTAAAATTATTTCGATTTTAAACAGGTAAATGAATAAAGTCAAACAAAAGGTAAACAGAACAAAGAGGAACATGTAGCACTGACTGAAACTGTTCTTTCCTGATTCTAGAATTTATAAAATGCCATTTGTATAAGTTCTATAACTGTTTTCTCATTTTTTGAGTTAACATATAATTCATATGTAGTAAAATTCACTCTTTTCATGTACAGTCCCACAAGTTTTTTTTTTTGTTTGTTTGTTTTTGAGTTGGAGTCTCACTCTGTCGCCCAGACTGGATGGAGTGCAGTGGCCTCCGGCGATCCTTCCGCCTCAGCCTTCCGAGTAGCCGGAATTACAGGCATGCGCTACCATGCCTGGCTGATTTTTTGATTTATTGTAGAGATGAGGTCTCGCCAAGTTGCCCAGGTGGATCTCGAACCCGCGGGCTCAGGCAATCCACTCACCTCAGCCTCCCAAAGCGCGGGATTACAGGCTGAGCCACCAAGCCCGGCTAGTTCCACAAGTTTTGACAAACATAAGCAATCACTTAATCCCCACCACAATCAAGATATAAAATAGTGCCACCACTCCCAATTCCTCCACACCACTCTGTAGTTAACCCTTCCTCTCTCACTCCCAGCCTGTGACAACCACTGATCTGTTTTCAGTTCCTATAGTTTTGATTTTTCCAGAATGTCATATAAATGAAATCATGTATTACCTAGCTTTTGAATTTGGCTTTTCACTTATTGTAATGCATTTGAGATGCACCCATGTTGTTGTATGTATCAGTAGAGTTTCTCCCCTTTTCATTGCTAAATAGTATTCCATGATATAGATGTACCAGTTTATCCATTTACCAACCGAAGGACATTTGGATTCTTTCCAGTTTGGAGCAATTATGAATACAGCTGCTAAGAACAACTGAGTACAGGTTTTTCATCTGTACATAGTTTTTCATTTCCCTTTAGGGCAGTGAAGATTGCTAGGTCCTATGGTAAGTGTATTTTTAATTTCATAAGGAACTGTCAAACTGTTTTTCAGAGTGGCTGTGCCATTTTGCATTCTTACCAGCAAATGCATGAGAGTTCCAGTTGCTGCACATCTTGGCCAACTGTTGGTATTTTTGGTTGTATTTATTTTAGCCATTCTAATGAACATGTAGAGGTGCCTCGTTGTGGTTTTAATTTGTATTTCCCTAATAGTTAATTATGTTGAGCATCTTTTATGTGCTTATTTGCCATTCATATATTTTCTTTTCTTTCTTTCTTTTTTTTTTTTTTTTTGAGTTAGAGTCTCACTCTGTCACCCAGACTGGAGTGCAGTGGCCGCTCCCAGCCACCGCAGCGTCCACCTGCTGGGCTCTGGCGATCTTTCCACCTCAGCCTTCCAAGTAGCTGTAACTACAGGTACGCGTTACCACACCCGGCTAATTTTTTTGATTCATTGTAGAGATGTGGTCTCGCCAAGTTGCCCAGTCGGGTTTCAAACCCGCGGGCTCAGGCAATCCACTCACCTCAGCCTCCCAAAGCAAGGTATTACAGACTGAGCCACCGAGCCGGGCTATCATTCATATACTTTCATTGGTGAAGTGTCTGTTTTACTTTCCCACTTTCTACTAGGTTGTTTGGTTTCTTACAGTTGAGTTTGGAGACTCCATTATATATTCTGGGTATGGTCTTTTAACAGACATGTGATTTACAAATATTTTCTTTCAGTCCGTACCTGTTTTTTTTTTGTCCCTATTATCAGTGTCTTTCGAAGAATAGATGTTCTCAATTTTGACAAAGTCAATTTTTTAAACTTTTTCTTTTGATTTTAATTTTTAATTTTTTTAGGAGACAGGATCTTGCTTTGTCGCCAAGGCTGGAATACAAGTGTAAGATCATAGCTCACATCAGACTCGAACTCCTGAGCTTAAGCAATCTTCCCACCTCAGCCTCCATAATAGCTAGGACTACAGGCATGCACCACCTCGACTGGCAAATTAAAAAAAAAAAAAAACATTTGTAGAGATGGAGTCTCATTATTTTGCCTAGACTGGTCTCAAACTCCCAGCCTCAAGCAATCCTTCCATCTCAGCTTTCCAAAATGTTGAGAAACGTGTGAGCCACTGCACCTAACCTCATTTTTTTTCTTTTATAGACTTGTTTTTGGTGTCATATCTAAGAAATATTTGTGTAACTCACATCAAGAACATATTTTTCTCTAAAGTTTTCTCCTAAAAATTTCATAGCTCTAGATTTTATATAAAGGTCAGTGATCCATTGAGTTAATTTTTACATAGGGTATAAAGAATGGATTGAGGTTTAAAAAAAATTTTTTTTGCATATGGATATCCGATCATTGCATGTGGATAGTAAACAATAGGCTTTCTTATTGAAAAGGCTATCCTTTCTTCATTGAATTGTGTTTGCATCTTTATAAAAAAATCCATTAACTATATATGTGTGGATCTATTTCTGGACTATCTTTTCTGTTCCATTAATCTATAAGTCTATGCTTTTTCCAATACCACACTATCTTTTACTGTTGCAGCTTTAAAACAATTCTGAAAATCAGTAATGTGAATCATCCAAAGTTGTCCTTTATCAGAATTGTTTAATTTATTCTAGTTCTTTTGCTTTTCCAAGTAAACTTAGGATCACCTGTCAATTTCTGCAAAAGATCCCAATAGAATTTTTATTAAGAAGGACAAACATATGGAATTTGCAGCAACTTGGATGGATTCAAAGACTATCATACTCAGTGATCTATCACAGAAACAAAAAACTGAGTACCATATGTTCTCACTCATAAGTGGACCCTGGATATTTACCATAATCCTATAAGAAAGGGACTGGCAGTAGTGGGGTACTGCCAGGGGAGGGAGGGATAGGGGGACCCAACATCAATAAGGATACCTGATATCAAACCAAACAAAGTGGGGACCAAAGGGAGGCCCAAACTTTACCTGTACAATGAACACTTGTATACCTAATCCTGAATTGTACCCCACATCTTTAAAATAAATAAATAAATAAGAAACTGCAGTGAATCTATACATGAATTTGGGGAGAATTGACATCTTAACCACAGTGAGTCTTCTGATCCATGAACATGATATAGATTTGAATATTTAAAAAATTTTTTTTTGGTCATCAGTGTTTTGCAGTTTAATGGTTTTGGTGCTATTATAAATAGTATATTTTTATTTCAATAAGATCTATAGCTATTTTTGTAATAATGCTTTACCCATCAATGGTAGTTTTCATCTGTTTTAAATCTGTAAATAAATGTTCAAGCAAAGTTGCACGGAAGCACTGTACTGGTTTCCTGTTGTCACTGTAGCAAATTAGCAAAATTTAGTGGCTTAAAACAATACAACTTTATTATTTTACTATTCTGGAGATCAGAAGTCTATTTTTAAAATTTTATTTGTTAATATTTTATACTCTTTTTTGGGGTAGAGACAAGGTCTCACTATGTTGCTCAGGGTAGTCTTGAACTCCTGGCCTCACCCAATCCTCCTGCTTTGGCCTCCCAAAGTGCTGGGATTACAGGCATGAGTCACTGCACTTGGCTCTGAGATCAGAAGTCTAAAAATCAAAATGCTGGAAGTACTGTATACCTTTTGGAAGCTTCAGGGGAGAATACTTTCTCTTACCTTTCCCACTTTCTAGAGGCACTCTACATTCTTTAGCTCATGGCCTCTTCATTGCATCATTCCAATCACTTGCTTCCATTGTCACATCTCTTACTATACTGTAGTCAAATCTCCCTTTTCCTCCCTTTTATAAGGACACTGTGATTATATTTAGAACCCACTTGGACAATCCAGGATAATCTATTCTCAATATCTTTAACTTAATTATATTTGAAAAGTTCTTCCTACCATATAAGGTAACATCCAAAGGGTTCAGGGATTAGGACCCTGATATCTTTGGGGAACCCTTATTCAGCCTATTTCTAGCATCAAACAGATTTTTAAAAGTCAATAAAGTTTATATGTGCCAATAAAATGCATACTTTGGAAGAATATTTAGCTTGAACAATGGCTTGGTAACAATGTTTTAAAATAAATAGCATTTAAAAGTCATAAACGCACCTTGTCTCCTTGTTTTAGTGTGCGGAGTTGAAGCCTTCCAATAGCTTTTTTAGCATCTGCCTTTAATTGTCTCTGTAATTAAAAAAAAAGCAGATATTAGAAAACTATCTTTAAAATAAGCACAATGAAATAGGTAGAGTGGATTAATAAATATTTATCAGGTAAAAGTCAATATGTCAATGAATTTTAACAAAAATTAATTAACCATTATAAATGTCCCAATTATCTGATATCAGGCAAGATTTTTCAAATTACTAAAATTTTTATTATGTTGCCTTACTTTCTTAAACAGCACTTTTAGGACCATAATGGTAAAGCTATGTGTCCCTATTTCAACTGGATTTAAATGCTATGAATTTTCAAAGCAATCTTCCTATTTGCAAGCTCAGAGGAGCTTAACATGCATATTTTCAATTTCTTTTTTGAATCATGCCTTATTTGGTAGAATGTACACAGGATTTGAAATCAAATGAGCCTGGGTTCAAAATATGATTTTGTTACTTAATAAATGAATAACCCTGGACAAGTCATTTAATTGAGATTTTTTTACTTATCTATAAAATTAGGATAATACCAACCTTTACAGTGTTTGGTATTAGGGAAAAACATTGTTGTTTATAAGCCTTACTGTCTTATAAGGAGAATGGGTCCGAGAGTGGTCGCCTTTTTTTTTTTTTTTTTCACTGAGCATATGGCTTGATGAGTCTGGATATGCAAAGGCAAGGCCCAGGCTCATTTATGGAATAAGGACTAAAACATTATGCATAATTGAGTCAGAAGTGAAGGTGAAGTGTGGGAGGAAGCTAAGAGGTGAGGGAAAGATTACAAAGAGGAATTAATGAGAGATTGTCCCTCTATGTGGGTTGAACTGACCAAAGGGAGAAAAAAGTTCCAGGTGATCTGAGATATTTGGTGTTAATTTGAAGTTTGTTGTGATGCTGCAGATAAATCCTTCCTTCCTCTCCACTAAAATCTGCTACATATAAGAATGCCTTAAGTGAATATAACATATGTGTAAACTGCATTTGAGGCTAATCCACCTGGGTGGAGGCTGTGTGGAATATAAAGATACCATATGCTTCATGGTAAGATCATAAGTAATCTTTCTATTCTGAAGTGTTCAATGAACAAACTTAGCAGAAATTCAGCAAAAAGTGGGCACTCAGAACCAGAGATCATTGTGAGAATGTAAACAGCTCCCTCATCCCCCTATACATACCCCCATTCTCAGCAGCGTCCCAGCCGACATTTAAATTACATGAAAATTAGAGATAATGTAAGTAAAGTATTTAGTATAATGTCTGGCATATGGAAGACAATAATATGCTTATTAAATGAAAATATAAGCTACCATTTACCAATAAGCATAGCAGTTACTTGTAACATGTCTATACATATCTGTAGCAAATATATTTTGGAAGAGAATAAGCAATAAGTATATGTATGTGACAATCCCCTTAATATCCAACCCTATCTCCTACATAAAATATCATTTTGTGAACGGTATTTGGCTTAATGCCAAGGAGATTACTAGCCAAACTTTTTATTTTTGTCATCACAGGAACAGCAGAAGCCTCTCAAATTTTTACCTGAGCAACAAATAAGCTTAATAGAAACCATCAACAGGAAGGTCAAGATCCTAAGAAGGAAAGAAGTGCTGATTGGGGCCCTTTTATTCCCATTTTTGGATGTAAGTGTGAGCTAAATGGGGAATTCTATGATAGAACTTTATATTGAGCACAAATCTATTCTATTTTGTTAGTTGCATCATAAGTAAATAATAGAGTGATAGTGAACAGAGGTACATGTAGGGTCTTTAGGTCATCTAGTCTGACATCTAGCTTGACAGATAAGAAAAAACTGGCACCCAAAGAGGAAGAATGCCTTGCTCAAATATCAGAGTTGGTTAGCCTCAGCCAGTGAGGCCCAGAGTGATATCAAGGTAGCCATCTGTTTTGATTGTGGCTTGGAGCAGGGTGCTAGTACTACTACTTCCTTATATTTATACAGTTTATACAGTTTAAAATAATGTTTGATACCAATTCCCTCAATTAATCCTCACAACAACCCACTAAAGAAGGTAATATCCTCATTTTAAAGATGGGCCATTGGAGCCTTGAAAAAGTAAAGTAACGGCTGGTATGGTGGCTCACTTTGTGAGGTCGAGGCAGGAAAACTGCTTGAGCCCAGAAGTTCGAGACCAGCTTGGGCAATATAGCAAGACCTCGTCTCTACAACACTAAAATAAAATAAAACTAACTTAGTGTGGTGGCACGCCCGTAGTCCCAGCTACTTGAGAAGCTCAGGTGGAAGGATCTCTTAAAACTCAGGAATTCGATGCTGCGGTGAGCCATGATTGTGCCTCTGTACTCCAGCCTGGGTTACAGAGTGAGATCCGGACTCAACAAATAAGTAAACAAACAAACAAACAAACAAACAAAATAAAATAACATCCAAAAGGGCATGTAGCCTCTAATTGATAGAGCTGGCACTAGAACTCTGCTCTTCATATCCCGAGTCCATTACAATATAATCATAACTCAGGTATCTTTTGACGTTTTTCCAGCTCCTGGATTTTATGGTCTTTCAAACTGTGGTGATCCTTCCAGTATGCCTACAATGTCCTGGCCCTGGTTCAGACATCTAAACTTCACTATTTTCTTTTCACATATATCACGAGTCACTTAGACATAAAGAGGAGAAGCATGTAAATGAGAAAAAATAGAGCCAACAAGAGGAAACACAGGAAAAAAAGGTAATGTAGTTGATAAGTCTTTGACAATCATTTTGTTTTTTGTCTTTAAAGCAATTCTAAATTAGGTTTGGGAAAGAAGCTCTGTAACACAATTGGGGAAATGTACTCATAAAGAAATGATGCCTCTCTAGGGTATTTACTTGATTAAGTCTACATAGTCTTATTTCTCATTCCAAAATATTCCATTCACCACAGTATAAGTGTCTGTGTCTCCAGTATTAAAGCTTATCAATTTATTAGGATGAATGCTGAATATACCTTCCTTAACTACAGGCAAGATTGTAATACACCAAATTAATTTGAGGTGTGGGATCAAAGAGAAAGTATATATAATGTCTGAGTCTATGCCCAGGAGAACAATAGAACTTACATTAAGACCAATGCTAAAAAAAGATGGTGGGGAGAGAATGCAAACAACAACAACAACAACAACAACAAAATAGGGCAAAATCTATGATGCTAGAAGATGCTAAGCAAGGAACTTGATTATAAAGGATCTCTAAAAGATTTGCAGCATAGTATGAACTCATGTTTAACAAATCAGTCTTGAAATTTTGTTTAAGGGGAAATTTGGATATTTTCAATAGCTGCTACTGAGTTTAAATAAAGAAAAGCAAAGTCATTTTCTTTAAGTATAGATGCAAGATAAGTGATTTTGATCAAAAGCACAAAATATATTTTTAGAGTTTGAATGAAGGTCACTTAAAAAACTGCTGTTAGTATTCAAAATATTTCACGGTCACACTGATAACAAAAGTGAAGATGTATTCCTTCCTCAAAAAAATTGAAATATGAGAGCAGCATTAGGACCAAGTGGTTTATATTAAATACATATGTTTGGACAATATTATCTAAGTCAACTTGTGAGTGCCAAATATACCTTAACATTTAGAAATAATATGCCCCAATGCAAACTGTAATTAATATTTTTTTCTTAAAAATAGAATTTCATATCTACATTGTTATACAAATTACATTGGATTATTTTCCAATGCCTTGCCATCACATCAGAATTACCTCTTACCCTATAAATTCCAATAGCACATGGTTTGCACCTCTTATCCTGTTCTGTAATTGTATTATTCATATGTCTTCTTCCTCTATTACTAGATTGTGAGTAGCTGGGAAGACTAGGTCTTAATAATACTAAAAAAAATTCAGTGACTAGTAGTTGCTCAAGAATTATTTTCTGAACTTAAAAAATGTAAATGGATTTTATTATTTTCTCATCCAAGACACTTCTCAGCTTTACTTATTAAAAGCCTGTATTCCACTAAATTTGGGGCGAAAAGGCTTAGAGAACATTTATTGGGCCACTACCAGGTATTTGGCGCTAAGCTTTTTACATGTGTCATTTTGTTTAATCATAAACTACCTTGTGAAGTAGGTATTTTAATATCCAAGGTTTATAGAGAAGAAAAGAAAGGTTCAGAGCTCGACTAAAGTCCAGGCAGCTGGTTAGTCGTAGAGCTGTGACTCAATTCCAGTCCAGGTTCTATCTGGCTGTAAAGCTCATGATCTCTCCACTATAGCACACTGCCTCCTTTGTGTAATAGCAAAGAAGTCTTTAAAAGGCTTCACATTCCTTGTGAAGAAGATAAATTAAAAAGAAAAAGAAAAAAACCCTCAAAGTTAGCTATTATCCAATCTTGAAATTCTTCCTAAATTGGCTACTTACTATGATTTGGGGAATTTTTTAAAAACAAGTATGTTATATCAACAGCCTGGTTTAACAATATTTGACAGTAGAGTTGAAGACTGATTCAAACAAGCTGGTTGTTGGCCACTTTTCTTAACAAAAGCTTAATGTCACTATCCTGACTAATTCAAAGCTGCAGTGGCTCTAATACTGAAGAATCTCAACTACATAGGTTTTGTTTTTGTTTTTTGGTTCTAAGTGGGAATTTTTTGGGGCTAAAAATGAAAAGTCAAATGAATGATTGTTCTTTATTACAATGTTCAATTTTAAAATTACAGCGAATGCAAAGACAGCCTACCTAGTTAATTTGTGTATTTATATCCAATCAGGTAAAATATATGTTTCAGTCTAGTGATTTTTCAGCCTGGTTGTTTGTCCTAGGCCTTTCAGTTTTTAGCTTAACCAAAAGCCATATGACTAACATTAGGTATGCAATCACACTTAATTACTAATTGATGGGGGGCAGGGTGTACAAAAGCAAGAAAGGAGGAGAGATATAAGCAAGCTAGATTTTTCTGTACTCAAGTCACCACCTTTTAAAAATAAACATTTTCATAAAAATTCGGCTAAGAGTTTTTATAACAGAAGATATTTAAAAGCAAGAATTATAGTTAAGAG